TAGATATTAGAGTATGTTATTTTTTTAAAATAAAAATTATAAAATTTTATTTTTGTCTATAATCAAATTGCGTTTGTTAAATGAGCCATACTAATTAACATCATCGCTATTAATAACACACCAATTGAAGTGTCACTTTTAGAGTAACTTTTTTTCTCTGTTATTTCTATGCTTGCTTTTGAAAAATGTAATTTAATTTTATTAAATGAAGGAATTATGTGCGAGTGTGTGTGTGTGTGTGTGAGTGTTTTGCGTCTAAGACATGGAGGATTGGTGGTGAATGACGTGCGTCCTTCAACAGGTAATGGATGAATATTCTATTACGAATTCTGATAAATGAATCTCTAGCTCTAGGAATAGTTATTTGTTTCTCGCCTACCATGCACACTCGGTCCAAAACTGCCATCACCAAACACTACCAATGCATGATTTAATAATGATACTTTATAATGATAATGATCAAATTCCCATCAGTTAATTAGTAGGTAGGAAAAATGTAAATCATGTCAATCTGACGAACATTCCTGTTTTTATCCGCTACTTTGGATTAATTATTAATTTCTTGTTCATTTCTTAGTCAGTTTAGATCATCTGTATTACTTATCATACAAAACTTTTTAAAAAATTAATCTCAAGTTGAATAACTGAATCGTAATTCTTACACAACTCGAGTTGTGATAAAATGAAATCGACTCTAAGCAAATGAATGAAAACGGGTAGTAATGTAAGAGGTGATTTGGTATGCACCATCTATATATTATGTTCAAATTAATCAGTCTTTAGAATTTATGTTCAAATTAATCAGTCTTTAGAATTTTTTTTTTTTATAAGTTACGCACTCGATGTTCAAAATAATTACTTTAGAATAAACTTTAAAAGCGAGCCAAACTAACTATGCTAAACTAGACTAACTAGTAACGGAAGGGGCATCATAACTAGAAAATGACTCTTACCACTACCTTTTTAACTAGGAAATTTATTAAAAAAAAAAAAAAGGATGAAGAAGAAAAAAGTCCCTCTTACCTAATGACGTCCTTGGTCTTCTTAAGAAAAATTATTTTTGTGATTTATCCTCCGAGAAGAACACTTGAGTCCAGTGCAGTTAGTCGTGGACTCAAGATCATAGTGAATCTCGTAGCTGATTGGTGAAAGTAAATTGAGAATGCTTATAATTAAAAGACCCAACCATGCTCATCTATCAGTACCTGCATTTGATAAATATCTCGTTTATCTCAAAATAAGTGTGAAGTTTATTACGTTGTTTTAATTTAGTAAACATGAATCTTAATTTGAGTTGGTAGAAATTATGATTTTCAAATGAATGTTCATTATTGTTGTCGGGATATTTGATAAAATTGGAATGATTCATTGAATTAAATGAATGATCAACTAGAAATAGTAGAACAAAGATTAATGCATTCGATAAACCTTCTAATATATTCAATATGAAATGATTTCTCTGTTTATTGTGCTAAAATTAGTAGTACAAGTGAATAACAACTGAACATTATTTTTTTAAGACGAAGTGAATTGTGAATATTATTATATAATAATAACGTCACTATAACGTGTAAAGAACCTCAAACTTTTGTTTTTTGAGTGGTATGGCATGGCTAATTGGCTATAATTTCAACTACCCTCAATAGTATTTATAAACAATTTGAAACCTATATAACTCACGTCACAAAATGGCACCTGAAAAAGAGAAATTGGAGTCCACGTCTATTCCGCATCACTAATTCACTATTGACCAAAAGAACACAAAAACAAACAACGTGATTAATATTTCTTTATTTTGGGGGGGGGGGGTCAATTGTGAAATTGGCCACATATATATACAATGTCATAGTTAAAAAGTGCCCAAAGCTAAAAGAGAAAAAAAATAATAAAAAGGGAGCTATAGAGTACCTTGAAGAATTTTCAGTTGGGTTGGATGCCAAATTGCGAAATTATTTGATGTATTGTGTCAGCAAAACCCAATCAAATTCCAGTTCAGCTCTTCAGAGTTCCGAGCACTCTGGATTGTGCTTATATGTCATGTCTTCACAATTTCTTTTTTTGTTAAAGAGATGAAAAAGTGGTTTACCATATCATTTCCCCCCCTCTTTGTGAAACCAATACTTTTTTCTTGAGTAGAAAGTCCGGCTTTCTTAGATCATGAAATGCTCAATCAGACAGATGAAAAATAAACATAGTCCTCAATTTAATGACATAATTCTTCATCTTTTCCTTTCTTTTTTTCTAAAAACTTTGCTACTCAATAAGTTCTTCAACAGAAAATAATTTGTAGAGTACTAAGCCATTTTGCAACGAATTGTGGGGGCGACAATGGCATTATAACAAGATGGGTCACATTGGTGGCTTCTCTTCATACAGTTAAATCGGGCAAGTATAAGAAAATGTAATTGGGATTTTACACTATACAGTTCACAATTTTTTAAGATTTTAGATTTTAGATTTTAAAACTTCTTTGTTTAAAAAGAAGAGAAATAAAAAATATTTTTTCTAGAAAAAGAAAGGTTCGACCAGCCTAAAGTGGAAACAAGTCTTTCTGGCCTATCTTTTTATTTTGAAGATTTCTGGCCCAACTATGATTCGGCCTTCTTTGGACCATCATTTAAAACATACAAAATGGGTTTCTAGTTTGTTTGAAATTGGTTTTATATAGTTTGGGATATAGAGAAGTGTAAGACAAAGTAACATAGTTTATATCAGTGGATCGCATTGGTAAATGTTGTTTGAGATTTGCCAGTCCAGTTCACTTTTTCAAGGAATAAGCATTTCAATTTCAAATGTTGGTACTATATATTTTTTAATGAAGAAAAGGAGGCAAAATGGTATAAATCAATAGATCAAAATCATTATGGAAATGGGTATAAAAAAATTTCTGCTACATTACGGTGAAGTCAAGAACACAATATTTGGAAGTGTTGAAATTTAGTTATATATGTTAAAGAAAGTGTTTTAAATTATAGAGTCATAAATATGGAAGTATAAAATATGATACTTTTTGTACAAGGGGAAACAATAGAAGTAATAAGACTCTAACAAGTGGACCAAAAAGTATCTCACTACATGCATTTAAATTGATTTATATAAATTTCAAAGTATATTGAACATTACTAGCGTAACAAAATATGATAACAGTATTTGGACCTGCGAAATCAAAGTCGAGTAATAATAGAAACAGTTATATTAGGTTCGAAACTATGATAACAAACTATTTGACTTATAGCATATGAACTAGTATGTATTACTAACGTTATATTTCAACCTAAACATAAAACTAATTTATACATTTAGCTAGTTAGAAAACAGGAGTTTGTACCATAGAAAAGAAAAAGAAAAAAAGAAAAAAAAGGGGGATTTTTTTCAATCCGTACTTTTATTTAAATTTATAGAGGAAACCAACTTTCTTTTCTCTTGTAGGAAAAGAGCAAAGAAATTACAATTGTCAAGAGTTAATGACCTAAAACCGAAATACTAAAATTATATAAAATGGAGAAATTAACAAAAACAATCCACATATATTGGAAATCGATTCAAGTATTTTTGAAAATCTAGAATGTCATTCGTAATGTCCTACCAACATAGTAATCATATTTTAAATTCTCAATCTCACTATAGTAGATTCTACCATAGAACCAATCCATAAGGATCAGTGATATTCATGGACATGGCTGGTATGTCTCGACAATGCGTCAATAGGATCTTGCGGCACTTCAGACGATCTTTCCGTTTTGATGTTGTCCAGATTACCCGGAAGCTGTACAAATAACTCAATCAGTCAATTTTCTCAGTCCTGAACGAAGCCAATATCTCAAGACTCTACCATTGCTAGTCTCCGTCACTAAAATGAAATCACCGCGTTGGCTGAGTGCCACCCCCCACTGGGAAACATGAACCTTTTGCAAGAACTCACACCTCTTGGTCTAGGATGAACATAACAACCTTTCGATGTTGTCTCTTGTGGAGATTAGAGACTCATAATCTTTACGTGGGAATCTTGCGGTGCTGTCGGTGAAGTAGACGAGATTATTAGCTTGGTCGACAACGACATTGTTCCTCAATTGAAAAGGAAAGTCCTGGGCTGAAGTGGCTAGTTGCGTGGCTACTCCTCCCTTAGAGCCAATTACAAGTAAAATCCTATAAGCATCCGCGGATGGAGAACTTGCTGGTTCTCTTATTAAAATCCAGTCCCAACGGTCTGCATCTGGCTTCCATTAAGGTGTTGTCGTGAGATCATTCACATCTAGTCCGAATCGAAGTGGTAACCGCAAAAGTAATTCAACGGTTTTGGATTTGGTCCTATTTCAGTATTCGCCCATCAGAACCACTAGTATATGGACCACTGCCGGTTGGATCGAAAGCGATACTCTCAGGTCCAGAGACACGGGTATTGGGAATCTTTATCTTTGTAGCAATCTTGATATACGACTATCCAGGAAAGTTAACTATTGAGGCACAGAGATTTTATAAACTCCGATCTTGAATCAAATTATTTTATTCTTTTAAACTAAGCTGCCGGATGTATAGACTTTGATCAATTCGAGAAGAGAAACGAAAAATACTTATTGGGATGCGATATTAAAATACGTTCGTTCATAGCATAATTATAGAGAAGAATCTTGTTGAATGTGTGATTTGGATTCATGGATGAATCCAGATTTGTTCTCACTATAACTTGTAGTCTATATTTGTTTAGGATTTGATAATATATTTTATGTTGTGGAAAATAGTATTAAATTGAGTAGCCGCAACACCTAAAAGCTGACGGGAACATAAGAGCAAAATGAGTGCCTGGGGTCCCTTCGGGCACATCCGATAAAATGGGAACGACTGTCTGGGAAAAAATTTTATCATAATTTTTTAATTATTTTATACGTGTTCCAGAAAAAGTGTCATTCATGAAGAAAAAAAAAAGAAAGAGAAAGAATCATTCTTTTATTTTAAGTACAATTTGTACAAAAATTAAAATACAAAAATGACAATTTTCGAAGGACGGAGAAAAGGATATATTTTTTTGGACCTTGATCAGGTAATAAATGATATGAAGGCAATATGAAAGAACTAGTGATTTCTTAAAATTTCACATACATTAGACTTAGAGATGACTATTGAATATGCGACATTAACCAACAAAATAAAATTGCTTATATATAGATCTGAACTTTTCTTTTTAATTATACTATATCCGTCCTAGAAAAAAAATTATTCTACATTGAACTTTAATATTTATACAAAAAATATCACAAATATCAAAATTAAATGCAAAGTATATATATATTTTTTTGATGGCAATCCAACCTAATTTATGTACTTAACTAGATGTGTGACAGAATCTCCAACATGAGAAGAAACAACAATCGGCTGGAACAACAATGCCTGAATTCGGTCTTTAGCTTGGGGATTGGAATGACCATGTCCATCGCCATACTCATACACACACTGCGCCATCCTCCCCAAACTCACCGCCACTTCCACGAATTTCCCGGAAAAAGGTAAATCAACTCCAACTCCTTCTTTGTTCAATTTCTTCCATGTTTCATTGATCAACAGTTTGATGTGCTCCCTAGTTTCTTCCTCAGAAACTCCTGTTTCATTCATGTAACACTCCACTGATTTCGGTACATCCCCACGTTTTAGCTCTTCCTACAAACATCAAATCAATCAAATTTTTAGTATTCTAAATAACATTATTTTTTCCAGTAAAAACTGTCAATATAAAGTTGTCATCATATATATACCTTTGATGTTCCCAAGTCATTAGCGAGGCGCAAAATCATGGCTGAATAACGAATTATGTTATGGTACGGATGCAAAGATTGTAAAGCGCTGCTTGTAATTGGAGTACTAACTAAGAAATAAGCATGAACAAGTATTAGAGGACCCGATATTGAAACCCATGCATTGTCTAAGTACTCTTGCAGATTTGGTGTGTAGCCACTGTGGTACCATTTTGCTTCTTGCAAATAGGATCTGCATAAATCACCCCACTAAACCAATTAAGTTAGTCCCATGAATTCAGACCTTTTTTTTTTTTTTCCATCTCTATCAAAAAAGATTCATAAGTTAGTTAATTAATAGATTGAACAATATATATTGATCTTTGGTAGAAGGTTTGTGTACCGCTTTTCTAAGGTATGGAATGATAAGGGCACCTTGTTCTTTCATGGCATCGTTAGCAATTTCGTTAATGGTATTATGAAGGGCCAGATAGCAAATCTTCATGTACCCCGGAAGTTCGTCTATTACGTCGACATTCCACCTGAAAATTTAAATTCTTCCATTAAACTCTATATGCAAATAAATGGAACTAATATTTTTTGTTACAAAATGATTGTCCGGCATTTTTGGATGATAGGATGGATACTTATTACATATGATTAATTACGTACCTTTCAACCGCAGAAGTGAAAAGTTCCAGTTCGTCCAAAGTGCCATAAACATCATAAATGTCATCTATCACTGTAATCAAAGCGTTAACCTTCGTTGACATTATTCTGAAGTATGAGCCTTCACAGGATTCGTTCTCAAAGTTGACCGCTATTGTCCAGAAGAAATTTTCTACCAATCTATCCCTTACGAAATCCAGCTTGCTTCCCAAACAAGTCATCTCCCACCACCTGTTAAATCACAGTCATTTGCAAAATGGATTTAAGTTTTACACTTTTTGGATCCATAAAGAGGAGAATGAATTGCTCACAGAGTCATAAATCTTCAAGGTTCAATCTACTTTCTTTTATGGTCATCAAAATGTTTCATATCAGTTATCTATTAATTTCATACTCTATCCGTTCTAAAACAATTATCCAGATCAATTTGAATTTTCACATTTAGTACAATTTTAATTGAAAATGAAAATCCAAACAAGACAATTATTCCGGAAGGAGATAATATTTCATTACAACCAAGTACAAATGGCGAGTTTGGTCAATTAAAATTTAGGTTTCACGTGTTCCATATAGTAAAATCTCGATTGTGTTTTTTTTTTCCCCCAAGATCATTCGTTTATCCTTTATTATAGTGATAAATAAAAATGGAGGGTTGATATAAAATAATGAATGAACGATTGACGAAAGAGAAACGGGCCTCGAAATTAAATGACTACTTCAGTAACTCACTCAAATCAACATCATGATAAGAGTCAATATTTTTTAGACTGAAATGATCAGAGGCATAAAATTCTTGTTTTAGGAGAAAGAGAGTAATAGTTTTGAACCTTGACGAGTCTTTCAAGTCGTTCTGATGTGTTGCTTGGACAAGGTTAAAGTCCAATTTGGCAAATTCAACCAAATATGAATTCTTGTTGCCTACTCTTTTATCATACAAGTCCATGAACCACCTTGCATCTACCCTTGGCACTCTCCAATGTAATGGAAGCTCTAGGGCACGTTCCACTAGCAAAGCAAGTTGTAGATCCAATATTTCTTTCTCTTCAAGGCTTTTCTTGAGATGTTTTCTTGCAAATTTTCTGGCTAGTTCTAGAGTCCTCTCATTTCCTCTTTCAAAATATGATGCTTCATACAATTGAAGCATCCCTCTTATATCCTTACAAAGGTTGGCCTTGAAATTCCCTTTCTCGTCCTTGAAACAATTAAAAACATCTGTAACATAGCCATATAATATATCGTTCATATACAGTAAGTGAGATAGACAACGAACTAAAAAAGAATGGAATTTCCTTGCAAATTAAGGGCATAACATACTCGTCTATTCATTTAAGTGAAGAACAAGAAACAATGTACTCCCTCAGTACCAAAATTATTGTCCAGTTTGAGATTTACTTTTAGTACAATTTAAACTAAAAATGAAAACTCAAACTGGACAATAATTATGGGACGGAGACAGTAACATGCATGATTTACCTTGTACCACTTCAAAACCATGTTGTCTCATGAGTCTAAACCCAAGTGCTGTTGCATACAAATCTTCTCCGTTCGGCAGAATCTTGCCGCTGTTTTTGTAGTTGCTCTCGTAAATGGTGCTTAAAATTGATTGAATTTTGTGTCGGAAGTGGTAAGAAACTCCAAGTGTTTGCAGGTCCTCAATGAACTCCAACTGATTTAGTGGATCCATTTCGTCATTTAGATCCATTTTCGCCTTTTCCTTGAGCGTGTGAAATCTACATACGTAAGTTTTATCCTGCGCATCTCATGAAATTTAATTTGGCCCTCCGTCAAAAAATTTATACTCTCTGTTTCGAAATAATTGTCCAAATTTAAAATTTTTATATTTTATATTATTGACACTTTGAAATATGAAATCAGACAATTATTTCAGGTTAGAAAGAACATGAAATTTTGATCGCATAAATAAAATAGTATAAAAGTATGATAAAAATTAAATCCCTAGGACGATAGTCTTATCACACTTAACTTCTTAATTAACGAGCTAACTAAAGTACTAATCATATTGAAAGAAACAAAACCAACAAGAGGAAGAAGAAGACTGAGGAATAAGAAGGTTACAGTGGATTCATTTTTTAGAGACTGCACAAAATGGAAATCCCAATGGGGAGGTTGGTAGTTTCCAAATCGCCTTGATGGGATCAGCTGTTGTATTCCCTTAAGCTTAGAAACCGAAGGAAAGTTAATAGAAATATCAAAATCTGATGATGCATTGAAAGAAGGAAGTGTTCTTATTTTGATTCCATTATAGAAAGTGGTTTGGGTTTGGCTGAAGAGGCCAGCCATTAAGAAACTGTTTGTTCTCTTATAATTAACTTTGAAATTGTACGTGGCAATAGACGTATATATAAATGTTTACTCTCATATATGTGGCTAATATAATTTGTATTTAATAATGAGGTTTTTGCATGCACCGAAAAATTAGAATCATAGGGATGGGTCATGGCTTGTGTAGTACTCCTCCGGTCCTTATTATAAGGTAGTTTGATTTCGTTCAAGATTTTATCTAGAATGTCTTTTTAATTGGGAAAAAAATCTTAAAAATATATTTTCGTGTTAGTTGTGTTCTCCTAATAATTGTGAAATATTTTTAAGGTTTTATTTTGATTAAAATGACATTTTAAGTAAAATTTAAGACGAAATCAAAATGTCTTATAATAAAGACTGGAGGGAGTATAAGTAAGCCTCCTTTAAGACTTGCAGATCGAATCCCATTTAGAATGGTATAAAAAGAAAGAAAAGAGCAGGGATAAACCCAATTTAGTTTTCAAAAGTGAAGATTCAAATTTCTGTGTAATTTACATAGAAGATTCAGTGTAAGTTTTCAAAGCATGGATAGACCCAAATTAGTTTTCAAAGTGCAATTACTCTATGATAATGTTAAAATTTTTTTGTTATTTTATAGTATTCTCTGTTCCAAAATTACGGTCTAATTTCATTTTCATTTTTAACATAATTCGTACTAAAAATAAAAATTCAAACTGGAAAAGGAGTACTTCACATACACAAGAAAGAATACATTGATGTAGTCGTTGTTAACATGAGATTAGTCTAAATATCGAAATGTCATAACATAGAACTTGCTAATGTATGGTTCTCGTACCAAAACAGATGCTTACCGCAGAATCTTTCAAACTTAAGAACAGCGTTGTACAACTATATATATATGAGCTGGTGCCGTGAAAATTTTGAGCCATTTCTAGTGTTTGTACTAATTTCCTACCTTGCAAGTAAACTCAAGAGATTGGTGGAGTTGTCTACGTACAGATTATTGGAAGGGGATCATCTCATCATATATCGATTCAAGATATGAAATCAAAGGTCTAAAACCATTCAGATCATCAAAAAATAAAATAAAATAAAATTAATAGAGTATTAAGAATATAGGGTCCATTGATTTAGTTGTCACCGTTTGCTTAGGTTTAGAAACACATCACAAATGTTAGGGGAAAGTTTTCTTTTATTGGAAAACAAAGGAAATGCTATCGTTATAGCGGTTTCTTCTCTAGAAGGGAAAGAGAGATCGTGACTACACCTTTGAGCCAACCAAATCCAACCTAACATCTGGCTGGAGACATGCATGGATGCTAGCCTTTGTTTAAATCGATTTCTTCTTTTTGAAGGGAAAGAGATAAACGTGAATGAATAATCATATGAGTTCTTTATCTTGTTGATGAGGTTCCATTCCATGCACAAATGCATTTGGTATAAAATTTATTCATATTTCATATTCTCTCTGTCCCAAAATTATTGTCTGAACTCGGATTTTAATTTTTAATTCAATTTATGCTGAAAAGAAAAACCAAACTACAGTAGACAATAATTTGGAAACAAAATGAGTATTTGACTACATAATTTCATTGAACTTTAAATTTTGTAGAGGTCATGAGTAATTAAGTAAGTTGTCCTATTTCGATATTTGAAAGCAATAGAGAGCTGTTAATAAGTAAATTGATCTCAAAATCTATTATCTTGAATATTGTTATTTGTTAACTTAATCACGAGTTTATTCCTCCTAAGCGGTGTCAGTTAAAGAGTACGGAAATTTGTTACCATCCCAAAATTATAGAGTCAGTTCGAGTAATAAGTACTTTTTCTTGTAATTCTGGTCATGTCACGTCTTTGTTAAGTAGGGTTTTTATCATTTTTCTTTATCTACTGCTCAACCGTACCAATTAATGATACTCTTAATAAAAACATGCAGAGGAAAAATATTTATGTCGGCAAACCATGAATCACATGTATCATATGGATCACCAATTTAGTGGAGGCCAAATCTCCACGTATATATGCTTAATTCGTCATCCTCCCGACAGTCCCATATCGGAAAAAATATTTTCTCACACACTGATTCAAACAAATTTGGATTAATTTATTACTTTCATAAAATTAGTCATCAGTTTTTGTATGATCAGTTCTACTAATTCCGTATTATTTATCCAGTAACATGAGTTCTTAAATCTTCAAAAAGGAAAAATAATAAGTATACGTTGATAAAAGGTTAGATAGAATGATAAGAGTAAAAAACACGAGATCAGGTTAGGAGTAATCCGCTCGCACCCGCAATTATTACATATATATTAGTTACATAAATTTCGTAAAGTCTCACCTATGAATTATCAAACAATAATATGATCAAACAACAACCTCCGGATCCGATCCTTTGTCTGTGGATTGGAATGACCATGTCCATCACCATACTCGTACATACATTGTGCCATCCTTCCTAGATTCACTGCGACCTCTACAAATTGTACAGGAAAAGGCAAATTATGTCCAACTCGTTCTTTATTCAATTTCTTCCATGTTTCACTGATCAATAGTTTGATGTACTCCCGAGCTTCTTCCTCAGTAACCTCCTTTTCATTCATGTAACACTGTATTGATTTCGGTACATCCCCACGTCTCAGCTCTTCCTACAAATATTATCATAATATATCAAATACGTGTTCTAAGCGTAAATTAAATTTAAATTTCACGAACAAAGTAAAACATACCGAAGATGTTCCCAAATCGTCAGCAAGGCGCAAAATCATGGCTGAATAACGGATTAGATTGTGGTATGGGTGCAGGGATTCTAATGCCTCTTTAGTAATTGTTGTTGTATCATCACTGATGAAGAAATAAGCGTGAACAAGTATTACAGGAGCTGAAATTGAAATCCATGCATTGCCTATGTACTCTTCCAAGGTTGGTATGTAGCCGCTGTGGTACCATTTTGCTTCTTGCAAATAGGTTTTGCATATATCCGCCCACTAAAACCAAAATTCAATGCAAAAGTTAGAATTAACTCCCAAAAGAAAGACGATAGATCGCTGAAGTTACATTCCTCAATTGCACCATTTTTTTATTTCATTTCATTTTTCCCAACATTGAGTTTCTACTCTATCTTACCTAAAAAATAGTCCACATTAGATTTTAAAATTTGCACTGTTTGTAGCTAGTACAAATATCAAAACTCTATGGAATATTTTTTTTTTTTGGGCCTGATATAGTCATAAATAAATCATGTTAGGAGTATAATGTAAATTAATTACCACTTTTTGAAGGTATGGAACGATATGGATGCCTTGTGTCACTAGGGCATCGTAAGCCATTTCATTAGTAGCGTTATGCATTGCCATATAGCAAATCTTCATGTAGTCTGGAAGATCATCCATCGCTTCAACATTCCACCTAAATTCGACCATATATATTTATCAAAGCGAATAAAAACTTTTCCAACTACTCATTTGTATGTCGGAATGATGACACGCTACTCCCTTAGTCCTAACATTAAAATATTTTGTTTTCTCAAATTTAAGTGTTTCTTTTTAACGGGATGAAAAATAGATGTTATTGGAGAGTAATTAACCTTTCCACGGCATTCGTAAAAAGCTCCAATTCATCCAAACTGCCATAAACGTCATAAACGTCATCTATTGTTGTAATCAAAGCGTTGACCTTAGTAGCCATGATTCTGAAATAGCTGTATTGAGGCTCAAAGTTTACTCCTATTGTCCAAAAGAAATTTTCAACTAATCTATTCCTCGCAAAATTTAGCTTACTTCCCAAACACGTACCCTCCCACCACCTGTACAAATGGAAATCAAAATGATCAATGGTGCAATCGATGCTAAAATGGTTCTTAGAGTGAACCACCCCCCTTCTTTTTCCGAAGATACAAGACCCATAGGTCAAAATCAAATCTTTTGGTCCAAATCACATGCAACTAAATTTGTCAAATTTCAATGCAGACAGTGACGGAGTTAAGATTTTATAATTGTATGAGCGAAATGACCAGAATTTTATTTTGGAGGGAAAAAATACCAAAAGTAATTTATTTACATTAACAATTTTGAACCATCTATTAACAAAAATTTCTGACAAGGGGGCGAGCACCGCAGCGGGAACCTAACTCCACCACTGGATGCAGAAGCAAAAAGCTTCAACATGATTAGAACAATTTTTTTTTTTTCCAACTACTCTATGCTGATTATGATTTGGATCAAAAGATTCAAATTATTTGACAAACGACCCCACATGTATTTTATTTTTTATTTTTGAAAAAATGATTGATTTGAACCATTTTAAAAATAAATGGTCATAATGGATTCAATGATGAAAATAAGAGACCATTTAAACTACTTTTGAGTTTTGATCTAGAATAAATGAGCTCTACAAACCTTGAGGCAAATTTGAGGTCGTTCTGATGCGTTGCTTGGACAATATTAAAGTCTAATTTGGCAAGTTCAAGAAAAATATCATTCTTGTGTGATCTTTTCTCGTACAGGTCTATGAACCACCTCGCCTCTACCCTTGGCACTCTCCACCACAAAGGAAGCTTTAGGGCATGTTGGACCAACAAAAATAGTTCTTGGTCTAATGCTATAACTCTTGTATCTTCAATACTCTTCTGGAGTTGTTTGGCTGTAAAATCTCTTGCTGATTCTAAAGTTGTATCGTCTTCTGTTGAAAGGAAGGAAGCTTCAAACAATTGAAGCATCCCTTTCATGTCACTGCAATGATATGCCTCAAAATTCCCTTCCTCGTCCTTGAACCTATCAAATATCTCTGTATCTTAAAAAAAAAAAAAATTAATGAGTTTTCGAACAAAGAAAGAGCTTAAAACATGATAGAAATTAAATTAAAATGTTTCGTGAATGGAAGACTCCGATGAGGAATGTTCCAAGAGAATTGATCGAATATACGCACCTTCGGACAAAGGAAAACCATGTTGTCTCAGGAGTTTAAATCCTAGAGCTGTTGCATACAAATCTTTTCCATTTGGAACAAAATTACCTCTATTCAAGAGGTCATTGATCATCTCCTTATGAATTGCACTTAAAATTGAGTTGATCTGGTCTTTGAAGTGATAATAAACTCCAAGCCTTTGCAAAACGTCAATCATTTCCAACTGATATAATGGCTCCACCTCCTCCTCATCCAGCATTCTTCTAACTTTCTCCTTCAGCAAATCACGTCTCTTGATGTACCTTAATCCCTGCACAAATTACAAACACACACACACACACACAAACATATGCTCTCTTCGGTCAATGAATTATTTTAATACAATAAATTGTTTTCTTTTTATACTAGGGGTAATTATATCAGTGCATTGCGGAATCTCCATAACAACATACAGGCATCATTCCAACGGCCCAACTTATTGTGTAATTAACGGTTGGTACATAAAAAATGGTTCATATAAAATCGATAAGGATGAGAAAATTACGTACCGTGAACTCATTTTCAAGTGACTGCACGTACTCGAAGTCCCAGTTGAGAGAGGGGTAGTTTCCGGATCGCCGAATCGGTATCTCTTCCCTTGTTGTAGTACTCAATGGTGTCCAAAAATACGGAGTAGAATTTTGGGAAGCTGATGAGATTACATTTGAAGATGGAAATGATTGATTAATGATGATTTTGGGTCTAAATTCCAAGTGAAAAGTTGCTTGGCTCATTAGAGAAGCCATCATAGGGGATCAAATCGCTAACTAACTGCTTAAATAGCTCTCTATATGTTTTGCGGTGATCTAAATGCAAATGGTACCTTAGTATATAAATTGATCAGGTTATTAGTTGTAGCTCCTCAATTTTTGGATTGAAAAATTCTATATGAACATCGTTAATCAGGCAAATTAATAGTTGAAGTTAAATCTGATTATTACGTTTACGTAACTTGCTAAACCAACAATCACATGATGTCAATTGATTTGATTAGGTTTCATGCATCCGTGCATTCATTTAATTCGTTTTCTTCACTTGGGATTCTGGCAATGTCAAGTCATTGTTCTTTTTTCTTTTGCGGGTTTTTCTCGTGTTTGCTGGTGTATGTAAAGATAGATACAAGTGTTATTTCTTATATATTCTCGCAAAGTCAGAGATTAATTATGGTTATAGTTACACTTACGGTATGATTTAACTAATGACAAACTAAGATTTTTCTGTCTCAGGCCAACAATGAATAATATGGATCACATGAATCACCAGTTTTGTGAAGACCAAAGCTCTAGGTGAGTTGTCACTAATGAAGCAGAGACAAGACGTTCGATAATGTATATAATATATTATATGTATGTGTTGTGGATCTAGTTTGATGTTTAGTATCTTCGCTCCATAGCCAAATCCTTCACATGAATCACGTTCCGCAAATCCACTTGAGGTAATTACTTCCCACGGTGAAAGAGACTTAAAAACTTTAGCGGAAACCAAAAGGTCTATCGCCTGAATTCTTAAACACACAAGGTCGGTTACGGTTAGGGCTAAATTCGCTGAACGAAAAAAATATACTCCACTGTATATTGCCTTATTTGTTGTACGTAAATTAGACACTTATTTCGAGTTCTGAAACACAAGCAAACATGGGAAGATCCCTCCAATTTTCAGATTTCCAAGTTTACATGTGAGATGCCAGTCATTACAAAATGATGATCACAAATTCACAATTAATGAAACAACATTAAAACCCTTGTTCGAAAACCAAAATCCCATTCTCTCAAAGTAAGGAGTGTTGTGTTAATGGATGATCAGCATGCTTTTCTAGGGGCTTAGTTCAATCACAAACTGGTATAAAATTGTGAATATATATTCCAGTTTCTTCTTTCTAAGACATAATACATTCGATTGCCTCCTTACAGATGCCGGTCATTGTAGCCTCCGGTCCGTATACCTACAACAACAAAGTAAGAGTCAGTAATGGTTTGAAGATCAATGACACACAACCACTTGAGAGGAGATTCTATCTCCCAAACATCTGGGTACCAATTGTGTCCCACTTGTTTTTTTTTTTTTTTTGAAAAGTGTCCCACTTGTTAATATCACAAGTTCAATCGTATGAACCCTAGTTTTTAATAAAGTTTTTTGTCAAGAGCCTAACAAACTGCTCGAATACAGAAAATGGGACAAAGAATCTTATTTGCTGAAAATACAAGGACCAAGAGTTCATCTAACAACGAAGCACTGCCATGTTAACCCCAATGTTCCAATTTCCAATATGCTTAAAACACACACACACACACACTAAGCAACAAAGACAACAACGACTCAAGTCTTGCACAAGGTTGTCTGCCCCATCATCCCATTCTTTTTTAAACATGTACGTTTCAATCACTGAGTTAGAACCTTAGAAAAAGCAGCATTCAGGGTTAACAGAGATTTTGTACCTCAAGGGGAACTCCCAATTCCTCACCCAAAGCTCGCATTCTGGCCAATCCCGTCTGATAGTTAGGACCACCTCTTCGAACGTATATGTGCATTCTCGCAGCTTTTAGCTTGGATTCCTACCCATTTTCAAAAGAGAGGGACGCAAAACAAACATCACTTTACAGATCATACGAAAAAAGAAAATGAAACATTAAACATTGATTATTAACAAACCTTCTCCCTCAGTGCCCGAATAATTCCATTGAAAGTAGCAGCAACATCAGTGAAATTAGCAATACCACCTCCAATCAGTAGAGCTCTCTTTCGCCCATCGGGATCAGCTGTTGCACACTGCCAGAGCATCAAGAAAGATCGCCAGATACACAAATCAGAAAAACAAAGATGAAAATTGTTTAAGAATACCCTTGCATCTACACCAAGATTAAGAAAAACATGCATAATTGCTTACATCAATCACTACTCGAGCATACTGCAAAACTTCCTCCTCATTGGGAGCTCCACTATACTCAGCATAGTTTCCGAGCTCAGATGCATATCCCAAGTCCCCAACCTATCATAGTTTCAGATAAGTTGATCAGCACTCATAACAGGAAACAAGCAAGTGCGGAGGTTGAAGGTGTTGACCAAAGAAAAAGGGAAAGAGGGATAAAGCCTCACAGTATCTGCATATATTACACTTGCACCACCACCAGCTACCATTGTCCAGATTCGTCCTTTTGGATTTAAAACAGTAAACTTTAGAGAAGCACTCGTCTGCCAAGTAAACCAAATCATTAGCTACCAAACAAAAGGCACTTCGCTGTGACACGGCCACTGAGTAAGCAGAAGCAAGACAGATCACTGATAAACAAACAAATATTGGAGAACAGAAATAGAATAGAGAATTCATTCCATGGTTGACCAGGTTTAACATACTGGTTTTCATTTGAAAGAAACAAACTTCACTCCAATAAGAGAACTTGACATGTCGATGATTAACAGATATAATACTCTAGCAAAAATTAACCGACTACAATGGGGAAACTACCTTCCTTGTTTTCATTGATATAACACCATTTTTAGGAGAAATTTTTCATGAAGTCTAAAGGGAACCCGAAAGGATAAAACATATTTCTGCTGTTGCCCAGACAATTTGCAAGACCCTAGAGAAGGCGCAAACCATCCAAAAGTAACCATGTTCCACTTCAGATAATTAAGCAGTATTAATCAGAAAATATTACAGCCTTATGTAATCAGAAGTACAGATGAATTACTTTCTCATCCAACGAGTGAATGAAGCTCTCAGTTGGGCTCAAGACTCTTCCAAAAGGTAAAGGAAACTCAATATCACCCCATCTGAAAGCAAATACAGCAGGAGACGAGATGTTAACAGAATAGAAACAATATCCCAAAAAAATTGGATGTCATTTCACGCACAAAAGCAACTCTTGGACATACTTGTTAAAATTCTTAAATGCAGCGGTGTCATCCAACTCTCCTCGCATGTCCAATGGGTATGGTTCCCCGTTCACCAGAGTAAAGGGATTCATCTCAAGGAAACTGAAATCCAGATCTAAGGTGCAATAAAACAAAAAAGAACAACAATTACAGCATTATCAACATTTCATTAGCAGAGAAACAACCATAAAGCTACATAAGCAAACAATATAAACAAGTAATCTTTTCTGTATCGCAGACAATAGAACACTGAATTGTTGCAGGTACAAACTCAGGATATTGTTCTAATCACCAGTTATATGGTGCTTGAAAGATGTACAACATGCAGATCGTATGCAATTACGATTCTCAAAACCACCAACAAACACACTCATACCTTGAAACACAGCAAAAACTCCCATTATGAAGTCGCCGATCTTCCCCCTTACCTGAGACAGAGATGTCAAATCAGCTACTGGTTCTCAGAGAAGATTGAAAGCCAGAATAATTGCACAAGCTAAAAGACGAAAACAACAGAATTTCCAAGAGTGAATAGTAGAAAATTTCACCAAAAAAAAAGACTGGTAATTAAATCTCTTCCTAAGAAACCATGATAGAGGAGATTATAAAATTCTAGCACGTCATGAATTGAAATAAACAAGAGTTTGAAAAGGAAAAAGGTCGTCAATGACCATCCATCTCCAAAAATAGGGAGGGAGTACTGAAAAATGGTGTGCAGATGAAGACGTTACAAACATCTAGCTAAGAGAAAACAAGTCTGAGAAAGACATCATGAATTAATAAGCTCCTACAGAAACAACTACTATTGCGGATTTGAAAATTTTTGAAATGAATCTCCATTCTAAAAGATGTGACTTTTACCTCCCTATCTCAAAAAAGTTGTGCATAGGCGCATATATTTCTATCTTTACTTCTACAGGAGCTGGATGGATCAGTTAATATTGTTTAAATAATTGAACATTTTCACCGAACACTTACAACAGACAAAGTACACTACATCAGCATAACCTTATTTCCGGAACATCCTTTCCACATAAGCTAAATAGAGAGATCTTGTAGCTGTGGTGACCAACCTTTGAAACCATAGGAAATTGAAGTGAATCTACATCCTTAAAAAACCTAACTTTTACCCCCTACTCTCTTACCAAAGGTTAACCCCAAAAAAAACTTCGTCTCAAACTTCATATTTCACGAGAGCTAGATCTGCTGATGAAGAAAAACCAAAACTTTCATCACAGTCCACCAAACACTTCAATAGACAATAGGAATTATTCTATGAAACATTACGACCTTATTCCCAGAACTCCATGTAAAGCAAAATGATAAATTCCAGAACATCCTATGGAAGTCAAATTGAGATATGGCAGCAGCGATGACAAACCTTTGAAACCTTAATGATAGAGACATATGCAAATGACATGAAATGAAATAGTAAAACAGACCCCAGTAAGTACATAGAAAGAAACCACAGTAGCATCTGCCAGTCCGCCCAGCCCTTAGAATTTTTGTAAGTCAAAAAGCACATCTAATGCTTTGAAGTGGCACTCGTCTAGTAACTTTTAGGAACACGATAGTAAAGCTAACAAAAGGGGGAAAAACTAGAAAGGAGGGAGCTTGGAAGTTAGAACCAAAACAGGACAATTTACTCCATGCATTTTAATGATCTTAAAATAGCAGGCAAAAGAGTTCCGTCCATACCAAAGAAAAACTGGAAATTATAGTGAAGGAAACCCAAGAATTCAACATTACCTCCAATGGCAGGGTAGCAATTAGAGGAGCACATGCCTCCAGTGTCATAGCTTTTTCAGTTGGAAGGAAAACTGTCTTAACCTGTAAAAGGAAAACTTGTCAATCAACAATAACAATGTGACACACCAGCAGACATAATCAGACGGGGCTCCAAGGAATGAGATAAGAAAACTCCGCAAAACTTAGAATCAAATCAGCAAATTCAGTATGTCTGCACCTTGTCCCAATTCTCTTCAATTTCAATACCACCGCATTCTGAAAAGCTAATTGTACTGCCTAACCGTTCCGAAACTATGGAGAGGTAATATTCCTGGTCATGGGGAACAAATGGTTCGACAATGAATGTAGTAATAGGTGCCTTGCAACCGCCCATTTCAACCTAGATATCATCAAATGATTCCATTAGCATGAAACATGATATGAACAGAAAACACAAAATGGTGAAAAATTCAATTCCTCAATTACCTCCACACCCAGGCGAGCTTTAACAAACTCAGCAACTTCTGCTAGATTTAAATTTAAGGCAACCAGACCGCTCTTCCCACGCTTTCCAAATAACATATCAGGTTTGACAACCAACTTCGTAGATGAAAGCCATGGCTCTTTGTTTGTCAACTCGGTAAAGTCGGTAGCTGCATTGACCTGGAGTCAATTTTGACATTAAAAGTAAAAGAGAAGAAACATAGAGGAAAAAAGCTTAATGCATCTGAAAGGGAATGCGCCTAACTGGAATGAAAGGTCGGCCAGATATATAGGAAATCTAACATTTGCAAGATAGGGGGGAATACGAAGCAATTGATGCTCAATAGAGGCAAACTTACATTAGGCATACCCCTGACCTCATGTAAACTGGCAACAGCTCTTACCGCTGCGCCAAACCCCCGGAAATGTCCTTTGCTAATCAATTTTGTGAATTAGAATTCTGCTCGGTATGGAAAATTCCCTAGGATAAGACCGCAAATAAGTTAAAAACTCTAGTTAACAGGATACAAACATCTTCAATGAGTTGCACCCATAAAAGGTGCCGCCTAAAAACTGGAAAGCTTCATCAAGTAAATTGAAACACTTTTAACAAACTACCACTAATACATCAACATGATAACGTGATCAGAGATACTTTAAATCCTAAAAGTAAAACAAGAGAATGCCACATTCAACAGCTGATCATAACTCCGCATAACTAAATCCAGTTCATATATCCGAATTCATGTAAAAGATAATTAAAACTTCATCCAAACTCATAGCCCTTTTCACGAATTATCAAACCAATCATCCATCGTGATCATACATAAGAGAAAGATTTGAACTTGATAGAGACAAAAAAAAGAAAAAGAAAACTAAAAGGGATACTGGGATTACCTGAGCAGAGCAGATCTGAAGATCAATTGAAGCAAGTCTTTTCAAGTGCTGCTTAAGAAGCCTCTTCGAATCATACTCTCTGATCTTCTTCCTGGCCATTGATAATTCTCCTGCGTTGATTATCCCACAAAAAAAAAAGGGCGACCAACCTTTACTTTTGGAGTCAAAAGCTACAAAACCCGTATCTCAAAGAGCTATCAAATGAAATTTGAAAAATTGTATCAATCGGATTGAAGTTGGCAGAGATGACAACAAGTGAATTATATGAATCAGGTGGAGGAGAAGGATTTTGTGGGGCTTTGAAGGGAAATAAAGGGGCAAGTGAATGGTGTAATATGGTAAGTATGAATATGAAGAAGGGTAGTTAAAAAACCCAGTGGCAATTCATAGGGTAGTTGGGCGACCTAATCGATGGGGATATGTTTGTTAGATCATCAACAACAATACATCTAATTCAACACAACAATACACTGTCACATCATCATTCCACTATACTCTCACTTTACACATTTTTTCCTACAACAATATTACACTCACTACCTATATAATTTTGAACCCACAACTACCCAACTATTATTGCCCCACACCTATCCTACTATTAATACTTTACTTTTTATAAAAAAAATAATTACATTTACTTGTAATAATAATTAATTTTATTTTTCATAATTATTTTATTTATATGACTTCTAAAGTACATTATAAAATTTTATTATTTTTTTAAAAATCTAAAAACATAATTAAATAACACAAGAATATAAAAAAACTTAATAATCATTGAGTGAATAATATATTAATAAAGAAATGGGAAAGAAAAAAATTGTTGTTTCATTGTGAAAAAAAATTAAATAAGTTACGGTTAAAAAGAGAGAGAGAGAGAGAGGAGAGAGAGAGAGAAAGAGAGGGAAAAAATAGCAAAAAACAAAAGGCAGTGAAAAAGAAAAGGGCTTTGGAGTCGATGGCCATGTAATAGATCCCGCCATTACCCCACTTCTTGTCACAATTCAGCGCTTGAAATATTTGACACAGCTGACAAGTTTATATAGCCTCCAACAATAACATCAATATTTTAACCTGACATGATACGACAATTAAACATTGTTGTGCATGCCCTTAACTTTGTCTCCTCTGTTCATAATTTAGCTCCCTCTGTACGGAAAAGGATTGTACATTTATTAAATTGTAAATAATTATGAATAATTAATTAAATAATTATGAAAAGAATACTAGTACCAGTGTATGAAATTTCTGCTATAATTGAAAAAATCTTAATATCAGTGATTGACATAATAATAGCGTTATGTTAACTGCAATTATATGCACAAAGTAATAGAAAGTTTCATAAGTATAAATTTTGCTAATTAGATTAGACGACGAGTTGTGAGGTAGGTAATAATTAGTAAGATTAGTAAAAAAATTGTTAATATGGTCGATCGACTCAACCATATACTTGATAGTTTCTCTTTCACACAACAACGTTACATTACGATATTTAGTAATTGAAATACATTCTCCTATACTAGCAAACTTATAATCTTCAAACAGAAGCAGAACACTTTATAGCCTCTGCTTCTAGTAACAAATTAATACAAGAAGAGGGAACATCAAAAAAATATAAATTCCTTTTAGCTCCAAGAACCTTTTTAGCTAAGACATATGCACACATGTTATTCTCCCTACATGTGTTCACAAAAGAAACTTCCCTAACTACTTGCAAAAGATAATATATACATCTTAGTTCAAGATCAAGATAAAGAGGAACCGATAACTGAGCCCTTAGGCCACTAACAAGCTCAATGGCCAACTTGGAATTAGATTCAATCACTAACTTAGTGATACCTTGTTTTACTGCAACTTCCATGACGTGAATAATAGCTCTCAGTTCTGCTGTGTTTATAGAGCATACCCCCATATTCAAGTTGAAAGCCTTTAAGAACCTACCACCTTCATTCCTAAATACACCCCCTGCAGCCGTCTTTCCAAAAGGTAAACAAACAGCCCCGTCGCAGTTCGCTTTCACCCAGCCAGGTTCAGGACATTTCCAGCCCTGCAAGGCCCCTTTATTGAACCCTTTTTTATGCCAATTGAACAATCTGTTGTAATTATCAATTTCCAAAGACTTTTGCATAGCAGTTTTGATTGCGCGTTGAACCGTTATAGTACCTCCTTTGAACACTCTGTCGTTCCTCCAAGACCAAATCAACCAACAGGTGGACCCAAAATTAGTTTTCCATCTAAACTCATTCGCATTTAGATTGCTTCTTAGCCACTACTGGATTCCCTGGCAAAAGAACTCTTGCTGTCAATCCCTGGAAACCAGCTGCAGCCACACCTCTCTTGCTAAGGGACAGTCTCTCAAAGCATGAATTATAGATTCAACTACTTGGTTACAACACGAACAAGTTTTTGTTGGAATTATCCTAGTTGGGAGTCTGTCTTGCAGCGCCAGCCATAAAAAGGAACAAATTCTTTAAGGTCCGTCCCAGCTCCACGCCTTCTTCTAACCCCTATCTACCTGCAAAAACGAATCGTCAAGAGCTAATTCATAAGCAGACTTGACAGAAAACTTACCAGCTTTGCTGAACATCCATGAAGCCTTGTCTTTTCCTAAGCATTCAATCGGTGGTGGCAACCTGCAAATACAAGATACTACGTCACGACGAGGAAGGTGCTCAACCTTGCCACATCCCACCTGCCATTCGGCATTGTAAACTCCACGACTGTTTGAGCTTTCCAATCCATTGGCAGCAGTCTCAACACATGGTCCGCTAGTCTCCCCATACCCTCAACCCAAACATCTTCCCAAAATCGAACAGTTCTTCCATTTCCTATAACCCAAGTTAGACCCTTCTGAACCGAGTGAAATACATCAAAGACTCTCTTCCATATATGTGACGCATTTTTGTTCCTCCGAAAACAAAGTGAATTTCTTTGCCGTCTACAGTACTTAGCTCTAAGGATTTGCACCCACAGCTCATTTTCCTTGCTCACTAACTCCCAACCAACTTTCATCAAAAAAACCATATTATTCTCATGAGTTTTCCTCAGACCGACCACTTTCTTTTGACCGGCATAATGTATCCCAATTAATGAGATGCAGCTTCTTCTTGTCCACTGTAGAGCCCCACACAAAGCCCCTGACCAGCTTATCCACCTCATCGCAGATATCTATTGGTAGTCGTGTTGTTTGCATCTGAAATATTAGAATAGCTTGAAGGCAAGATTGTGCTTATGTAATCCTACCTGTAAAAGACAATTCATTAGCTTTCCAACTTGACAATTTGGCCTTGATTTTGTCCAACATTTCATTGTAAGTAGATTTCGTGACTCTTCCATGTAACAATGATGATCCAAGGTATTTTCCCAAGTTGTTAGTCACTCCAAACCCGAACCCTTTGCTGATAGACTTTCATAGCTGCGTTAGTGTGTTTCTGGAGAAGAAAATCTTTATTTTTTGGTTATTCACCTTCTCCCTGGAAATCCTAGAAAAACCATCCAAAACATTAGTAATTACCCGTACCTGTTCTAATGAGGCTTTTGAAAATAAAAATAAATCATCGACAAAAAACAAATGCGAAATTAAGGGGCCATTTCTAATTTTGATGCCTTTCCACTTAGACTTACTAACTGAAGCAACAATACTATGCGCCAAAATTTCCATGCAAAGTGCAAAGAGATAAGGGGAAAGAGAATCTCCCTATCTAATTCCTCTACTCGGTGTGAATGTATCTGAGGTTCCTCTATTCCAAAACACTCTCATGTTTGAGGTTGATATGCAGCATTTGACCAGCTCCACCACTTTCATTGGAATCCGTGCTGCTACTAATGTCTTCTTAATAAACTCCCAATCCAATCTGTCATAGGCTTTTTCTAAATCAATCTTGATAGCCATCCAATATTTTTCCCCCTTTTTTAACCTCATTGAATGTATGATTTCTTGAACAATTAGCGTTTTATCAGCCAGCTTTCGGCCAGGCACGAAACTCGTCTGCGTTGGACCGACCAACTTTCCTATGAGAGGCTTAAATCTGTTGGCTATCAGTTTGGTTATAATTTTATAAATCACATTACAAAGGCTGATTGGGCGTAGCTAGGACAAATTGCTTTGTCTTCGGGATCAGGACTAAAAGAGTCTCATTAATTGCAGCCGGAATATGCCTTTCCTAGAAACACTGTAAGATAAAATTAGTGACAGCCCACCCAACTGTACTCCATTGAGACTGAAAGAAAATTGGACTCCATCCGCCAAGCCCCGGAGCTTTGTACGAACCCATATCAAAAAGTACCCTCTCACTTATGCTGCGTCTACCGGCTTCAAAAGCGCGTCAATCAATCTCCTCTTGGTTCAGGATTGGAAAATTGGAGAACCATTCATAGGAACCCCCTTGCACTGACTCCTTGGTAAACAATCTCTTATAAAACTCTAATGTCATACCCTTCAACAAGTTTTGGTCTTCAATCTACTCCCCCTCATCATTACGCAACCTTTGTATTCGACTACACTTTCTTTTAGCCAACGTACATAAATGAAAATATCTGGTATTCCTGTCCCCAAACTGCAGCCACTTATTCCTGGATTTTTGGAACCATAGCATCTCTTCCTGGATTAAGGTTTCTACTATTTTCAATTAAAACGATTCTCTATGCGCATACAACCACCCAGAAGGACAATGGTCGATTTTTTTTATCAAGCATTTCAAGTTTCCTGGATAATCTCCGTTTCCTAACAAAGATAATACCAAAAACCTTCTTGTTGCAATTGATAAGTTTTTCCCTGAAAATGGCCTCTACAGATCTGTAATCCTTATCCGATTCCCACGCTGCTTGGACAAATGCTTTGAAGCCCACATGTGTCAACCAACAGGCCTGAAACCTAAACAGACGGTTCTCCATCTCAGGTGCCAAATTCTGATCTAGGTTGAGTAGAATCGGCCAATGGTCGGACTTAATTCTACACAGATGAGTAACAGAGCTGTCTGGGTATTTCAGCCTCCAATTCGCGTTACATATTGCTATGTCTAGCCTCTCTTGAAGTTTGCTCGTTTTTCCCTTCCTCCATGTAAACTTCGGCCCAACAAACCCCATATCCTCCAACCCACTCATGCAAGAACTCATTAAACTCTCGACATTTGGTTATATTCACCTAAGCCCCCCAGTCTTCTCGTTAGCATTTAAATAAACATTAAAATCGCCTATTGCCACCCAAGGCCCAGAACATTGATCTTTGAGAGCTTCCAGGTCCTGCCACAAGGCTTTCCGCACATGAACATCCGGAGAAGCATATACAGCTGTACAGAAACTGCTATCTCTATCCGTCTCCCATAAGAAATGTACCCACTGCCTAGATAAAGCTACAATATCCAACTTAACATCACATTCATTCCAAAGAACTCAAAACTTTCTATGTAATATGTACATTTTGCTAGTTCTCTAATTTTTCAAGTTTTTTAAGATAGAAGTTCTAGGGATTTTATCAAATTTTATGTGTGTTTTCTACACAAAAAAA